TAGGGAAGCAATGATAACACAAAATGCCCCCCCCCCCCGTCGACAAACAGCGCCCCTTCCTTCTCCATTTCCTGCCATGTTAGTGACCTTACTGAGTCTTCCCTAATTCCTCCCACTTTTCCCCATTTTTCCCGAACATTTCTAGTTCTCCAGATTTTCCCCAACAAACTATCGTCGAGTGAGGGCGAAAGGAGAGGTCGCTACTAAAGAACTACTATCGAAACAACCACTACAGCTACCACAAATAGTAGTTGCATAGAACCTTGGCGATGGTACCAACCACGGGTGGGTCTCTTCACAGGCCTGCGATCCCCCGCACCTCCTTATGCCCACCAAATACGACCCCGCTGGGGATTCTCCCAACGTACGACGTGCACTGGAAGGCATTCGAAATCGCGTTCTCCTGATATGTTTTGTGGTCGCAAGAGAACCTCAATCGCCCGTTTTCTCTGAGGGGAAATCGTCATTGGTAGGGGTCCCAACTGTCTGAGTCGAAGAAGATCGTACCTGATTTAAAGAGGGGAGTGGATTAATGTGGACGTGTAGATTGAGTTCAGTTTTGAGCTAACGGGAATCCGATTAGCAATGACTGTGAAGGGAACTCCTGCTGGACGACCAGCTCTCCTCATCGCGGCGACGTGCCGTGCTCCTAGCACGGCCAGTCTCTCCATCCTCCTCCTCAACCATTCCCTCTCCTAACCGTCGCTCTCTACTGGGATCCCCGCTATCGCTGCTCTCCTCCAAACCGACCAATGAGCTGTCACATTATTTGCGCAATCGACTAGTGGCTTTTGGTCTGCGGCATTTTTTGACGTGAACAGGCGTGGGGAGCTCATATAACCGGTTTTTTATTTGTATTTTTTGCTGCCGCAGCAAGCGCCATCTTTTAACTAGGCGGGCAAGTGTGCCTATTTTGATCTAATCGTACTTTCGTTACCTAATAACGTCCGCTGCATTATTTGGGAGGAAAATTAGCTAGCGAGATCCACATTCTATTTTGAGAGTTCAAAATTACGAAAAAGAACTCGTTCTGGCTTTCCAAACTGGTTTTCGCCAGTAAACATTCATGTTTATAGCTTTCGTGAGTATTTCATAATGTTAGTAATATCGTGCCTTCCGAGGGTTGGTAACGTTTTTGATGTCCGCCCTAAGGCCGCGTTCATACTTTGCAACTCCAGCGATTCAGTGGCGTGATATGGG